GACTATTTTATTATTCAATTCACATTTGAGATATAAAAAGATGTCCAGAATTGTTATCAGCTGCAAGCAAAGTTAGAATTGCAGATAGTAATTCTGACATGATACTTAGTCTATATGATCAAATAGGGATTCTGAGTATTTCCTGTTACAGGAGCAAAGTTTCTTTTTTTCTGCTGTTGAAGTTTTTTTTTATTTGTCTGAAATCTGGAGAAAACAGTCCATCTGGTCCTATATAAAAAGATAAATTTAAAAAACTAAAGTTATTAATAGAAAGTGATAAACAGGTGCTCTAGAGCAGGATTGACAAACTTCTGAAAAGGATCAGAAAGCAATATTTCAAGCTTTGTAGACCATGTAAGGTCTCTTTCTTCCTCCACCTTCCCCTTCTTTTTCTTTGTCTCCTCCTTTTTCCTTCATTCTTTTCTTTTAACAACACTATAAAAATGTAAAAACATCCTTAGCTCAAGACCATACTAAAACTGTTCAGAGCATTGCTTCTTAAACTTTAATGTGCATATGCTTTGCTGGGGGAGCTTGTTAAAATGCAGATTCTGATTCTGTGGGTCTGGGATTGGGCTGGGGATCCTGTATCTCTAATATGCCTTTGGGTATCAAAGTTCTTGAAGTTAAACTGTTTCATGGCATTTTATGTGATGAACCAAATAATGGGATTACATGGAATACCTAGTATTTAGTGGTCCTTCATAATTTTAAAGTCTCAGTCTTCTTACAAATTTGATGAAAGCTTTAGTTCCACTCTCCACTACCTCCTGCCCACATTAAAGTACCCAATTTTATACACCATTTCAGAGAATTCTTGGACCTATCTGAGGTTTATCCATCTTAAGGGTCAATGCTATAGTTGTATAATGTCTAATTTTAAGGGAGCTCAAAATTAATCCTCTCACCCTTAATAACATCTTAAAATTTAGATTGCAGCTGTGTCTTTGCATATCTCTGTATCAGTCTATCTATCTACCTATATATCTGTTGTCACCTGAAAAAAAATTCACAATGTGAGAGTTGCGAGTTAAGCTTTATTTTGGGCAAAATGAGAGCTATAGCCCAGGAGACAGCATCTCATATAGCTCTACTCTAAGGAGCTGCTCTGAAGAGGTAAGGAGAAGGTCAGTATTTATTTGATTTTAGTGAAGAGGGGTGCATGCAACCAAGCACACATTTTTGAAGAAGGTTGCTGCTAGTCTTGTGAAGGTTATTGCTAATCTCCAGGAGCAGATATCTCCGTTAATGATTTTGGTACTTTTCTAGATATGAGAACATGTGAGAATTTGGGCTCATGAAATCTTCTCCTGAAAATATTTAACTGTTTGAAGCCCTGTTCTACCTCTCTGACCTCCATCCTGAATTCCTTTCAGGGTATGTTGAAGGTCAGCGGCAGTATTGGCTAGTGACTTAATCCTTGTAGAGGCAGATGGCCAGTGCCAATTTTTAGTTGTCACTATCAATCATCTATGTATTGGCTGGTACAAACTTTAAACTTTGTTTTATGCCCTACTAGCCACTACTGTCCTGATGATTCCATTTAAAACCTAAAACTATAAATGAGGAAAATAACCTAACAGTTGCTAAGAGTAAACATGAATTATTAAAATGCCTTGTATTAAATTTGTTCACAGTTTACTTAAGACTTTTTAAAAACTGCTTTATTGAGATACAAATCATATGCCCCACACTTTACTCATTTAAAGTGTACAATATACTTTTTATTGTTTTCACAGAATTGTCCAACCATCATCACAATCAATCTTAAAATATGTTTATCACCCTCTCAAAGATTCCCCTGTCCCTCTTCACCTCTCACCCTCTGGACATAAGGTTTCGTTTCTCATGGATATGTACCAGGCAGTGGAATTTCTGGGTCATATGTTAATCCAAAACTTTTTGGGGAACTCCAGATAATTTTCCAAAGTGGTTGCACCATTTTACATTCCTACCAGCACTATATGAGGCTCTCAACTTTTCAACATCCCAGACAGTACTTGTTATTTTACATTTTTTTAGATTATTACCATCCTAGTGGGTGTGAAGTATGTCATGTTGTGGTTTTGATTTGCATTTGCCTGATAGTGATGTTGAGCATCTTTTCATGTTTACTGGCTTTTTGTTTAACTTTTTTTGATAAATACCTATTCAGATCTTTTGCCCATTTAAAAATTTGGTTATTTGTACTTTTATTGATTGTAAGAGTTCTTTATATATTCCAGGTATAAGTCCCCTATCAGATATATGATTTGCAAATGTTGTTTTCTAATTCTGTAGATTTTTTGATAACAAATATATTTACATTTTATGAAGTCCAGTTTATCTGTTTCATTTGTTACTTGCTTTTGGTGTCATATTCATGAAGATTTTGACTAACTCAAGGTCGTGAAAATTTACCCGTATAATTTCTTGGAGTTATCTCATAATTTTACCTCTTATATTTAAATTGCAGATGTTCTTTTTAAGTTTTTATAACAGTGGAATAAAGTTGCTAATTGAATATCAGATGTGATAGCACTGGAATTATTTACATATATCATAGTCATAAATGAGTACAGTTCTCTGAGTGCTTATTGGACGTGCTGGATTCTAAATCTTATTGCTAAATAGCTTAGATATTTTGCTTCTATTTCTCTTACTATTCTATTATTTTATATTTTATTTAATAAATGCTAGTGTGTTTTCAGCTCCTGTTCAGGCCCTATCCAGGCCAAGTGCCTAATAAGATAGAGAATTACTTGATGTAGTAAACAGTACTCCAAAAATGTGGATGATTAAAACTTGCTTATTTTTAGTAATAGAACAAGCTTGGTATTAGGGAGAATGTTGATGACTGCAAATGGAAGATTAGAAAAGAGCAAGGATATCTAAACAAGATGTTTGTAGCTTGTCATGTGCCTGTTACATGAAAAGTGACATATAACTCTTGGTACATTTTAGGATAAGTTTCTGTGGCTGTATATCCAGAGCTTTACATTTGGAAATATGTTACTGGTTTGTAAGATATGATTAGCCATTCATATTTAAATACTTTGAGATCTTACTTGGTTATTACTTTTTAAGATAATTCTTACTTTTTATGTTCTATAAATTCCTACTTTCTGTTAGGGTCTCAATAATTACAATATATAGCCTTCTTTATTATTAGGATATATGATATGATTTCCCATCAATATTTAAATGCTTTGGGGTCTCTTTCATTCTTTTTTTTTTTTTTTAATTTTGACTCATATACTGTAAATTACTCTTACTTTAGGTACCTAAAACTTGTAAAAGTTCCTTCTTGGATCTGATGAGATGGCAAATGGTAATCAGCAACCTTTAAAAGTTAATCCTGTTCACAAAAGAAAAGGCTCATTCGTTACCAAATTAAATTCCCTTTATTAAATTTAAATACGAATTTTAAATTAATATTGAAAGTAAACTGGTAAGTAATATTGAAAGTACTCATCAAATAACATTGATGAGTAAATATTACTTCTATTTATTGAGCAGAAATGTGCTAATATTAGGTGATTGGTTGGAAAATTTTAAGAACTAGTTTTTAAAAGCTCCCATTAAAAAAAAAAGGCTTCCATTTAGATTATTAATGTGTTTAGAAAGGGTTCTCTCAGTGTCTCCTTTAGAATTATTTGCAGCATCTGGCAGGACCTTTCCACAAATAATGGCCTGTGACACTTTATAAATTTAACATTTCAAACAATATACATTATGCAAAATTTTCATCTTAAAGTATTGAACAGATTCTTCTCTTTCTATTTTTTCAACCTTGTAATGGCCTCACTTTCATTGCAATCACAAAAAAGTCATTGATACCTGTCACTCTTCCTTATTGTGTGGAATAACAAATTCTTTCCAGTGTTTAGTTTATGATATAGCTTGTATCTTCCTCTTGTTTTCTACCTTAAGTCTTATTTCTCAAGGTCAGGTTCTTTTTATTGTTCTCTGGGATACTGAAGTAACTCTCACCTGTCTTTTTGGCTCCATTGCTATCTATGTTTTACACTACAGATCCAAAGTATCTTTCTAATACACAGTCATGTCACTGCTCCCTCAAAATCAGCTAGCCATATAGAATAAAAGTCCACACTCCTTAGCGTGGTATTTTAAGCCCTTTTGTCTCTGACCATAAGACTGCCGTTCACCCTCACCTGCCACATTAACTTCCTCCCTGATTATGAAAGATATGTATGTACTGTTGTTTCTCTGTCCTTTTGCTCATGCTGTTTCATCAGTCAGAGTATCTTTCTCCTGTTGACATTATTTTGATTCTTTACAACTCAATTTAGATGCCACCTTTTTGAGTGGCACCTCTTACTGAGCTCTAATTAGAGTTAACATGTCTGTTCCTGATTTTTTCCTATAAAACATTTCTTGGATCTCCATGCAACAACATTCATTTTAACATAGTAATTTAGCTTGAGTTCCTCAGGCAGACATACCTTGGTTCAAATCCTGCCTCTACTGCTTACTTTCTTTACAATTTATGTCATTAAGTTTCTTCGCGACATGTTAAATTGAGTTATTACTGGTACATAATGTTCAGGTCTCTTTTTGTGTTGACTCTGATAACACAATGCTAGTATGATAAATGATTTCTGTGTATGTATTCTAGGTACTTGGCTGTTTCCCCCAGTACACAGTAGGCACTTTGACAATAGGAGATGAGTCTAACTCATCTTAGTATCCATTCCAACTTACTGATTCCAAAAGGAAATTTCATGCTCTTTTACTTTTGTTTGTAATGACTCATGGAACATGTTAAACTAACTCACTAGAATTAACATATTAATTTATTGCTATATTGTCTTGTTCCACCAGGGATTTGGGATGATTTATGAAAGCATAAAGAACAAAAGGCTGAAACATAAATAAAATAGTAGTAAGTGCATTTTAAATGATTGAATAGTTCAGTTTCATCAGTGGAAACCTAAATGAAACAAAAGCTACAGATGAGGAAATATTAAAACTTGTCTTCATTCTGTCATGTTTCACAGGATCTCGTCTTCGCCAGGAAGACTTTCCCCCGCGGATCGTGGAGCACCCTTCTGATGTCATTGTCTCTAAGGGAGAGCCCACCACTTTGAACTGTAAGGCCGAGGGCCGGCCAACACCCACCATTGAGTGGTACAAGGATGGTGAGCGGGTGGAGACTGACAAGGATGATCCCCGGTCCCACAGGATGCTCCTGCCCAGCGGATCCTTATTCTTCTTGCGCATTGTGCACGGGCGCAGAAGTAAACCTGATGAAGGAAGCTACGTGTGTGTTGCAAGGAACTACCTTGGTGAAGCAGTGAGTCGAAATGCATCTCTGGAAGTAGCATGTAAGTAAACATAATGAATCTCATGAATAACACTCACTTTTATTTTGATATATTTTTAGTAAGCGTTGATTTGTTCCCATAGATGCTTAACACCTAAAGAATAAAACAGTGAGCAAGCATACTCTGCATAATTTTACTTGCCTTCTCCAAAGAAAGCTGGTCAAAATAATGTCAAGCCAAGGTGTTTGAAATAAATTTATTTATGTTGTAGCAATGTGGATATTATGTTATTAAATTAAAAGCAAGATGGTGTTGATGCTGGTCATATTTAAAATTTGAATTATCAATGACAGATATAATCAGATTAAAGTTGACAGTGTTAAAGTATAAAGTTTATGAGTAATGTGGGATCAAATACAAGGCATATATTCAATATTGTACCTATTTCTGTTATTTATATAAAACTGTTATATTTTGTATGTGTATATATATATTTCTAAATCTAACTTTCATTGGGCAACTTTAAAAAGAATATATTCTCTGGGTTATACTAACTCTTTTACTTCTAGGCTAAATTCAGGAATTATTAACCTAAGCATGGAGGAGAGAATACACCAACAATATCAGCAACTATACTTTATTTTTTAATCAGAAAATTCATTGGAGAGGAGATCTGATTTCTGTGTAGGGACAAAATGTTCATATTTAGGAAGGTCTTGCTCAGTCTCGGTAATCAGCAGTAGCTAATTACTTGCCCTGCCTTTGACATTTTAAAATATATTTGTTTATTAATCTACCAGCCCAAACAGCACTGGTAAATCAAGATATCAAGACTTTGCATCTCTTTAAACTTTATTTGTCTGGATGGTTTTGCAGAACAAATTAAAAAATACTTTAAATTGGTTTTCTATTTTATAGGTGAGGATTTGGTGTCATAATTTGAACAGCACCAGACAATTTTGATACCTATTTTCAGGAAAGATTTTATCTAGAATTAATTGTGAGTAAGGTGGCAGTAATTGGGCCTAAAGAAAGTTTGTGCTCTTCAACTTTCTAGTTGTGCCAGTAGCTGTTCATAGGTAAGAGAATAGAAATATTTCAGGATGCATTAATCTTTTTTATATAGCTGAGATGGAGTGCTGGATAATAGCTGATGGTCTCATGTCTCCAATTAAACTTGATACTTGAATTCACATGCTATGTGGTATCACACTAGATTATAAAACTTGTGTATATGTGTATTGAAATTCTCAACAGCAGCGTGTTGTTACCTTTGTACATGAAAGAATCTTCTAGTAAACAAAGTCGTACAATTTCTTATTCAGCTATCCCAATGAAAGCTTTTGTTCTCAAGCATCCAATCTTTTGATTTATAGCTTGTACTGGGAAATCTGGAACCCACTCCATGCTGGAAATATATAAGTCCAATAAGAAAAGCCTAGAATAATCCTAAAATCCAAGTTTGTTTTATAAAGTGTTTTGAGATCTAAGCATTAGAACTTCTGCTAGCAATGCCACTTTGCCAGACACTAGGTAATTTCATTTCTATAAGTTTGTTCACAAAGCAGTTAGATTAATTGTAGTTTACTGAGGTCTGAAGTATATACACAAAACCCCAAGAATGCAAATATTCCTGTTTCATATTTACTTTGAACTATCTTATTTCTGGAATATTTCAAACATAATTGAAATATTTCAATGTCAATTTCTATGGTTTTTCCAACCATATCACTTTATAGTAAATATAACAGGCGTAATTCTTCCCTTTTATAGATAAAATGAAACCCATGATGGTTAAGTGACTAAGACTCAGAAAGTAAGTTAATGGGGAATTCAAGATCAGACCATGATTGTTCTAATTTTCAGTTGCAGAGGACTGTGTCATAGTTGGAAAAATACTCAAATGAAATCTGGCCCATTTTACATAAATAAAGATAAAGAACTTCTAATTAAAAATTTTTTTATCTACTCAGCAGCAAATAAGTATTTTTTATTGAGGTATAGTTGATGTACAATATTTTATAAATTTGAGTGTTCAACATAGTGATTCACAATTCTTAAAGGTTATATTCCATTTATAGTTATAAAATATTGGCTATATTCTGTGTGTTGTGTTGTACTATATATCTTTGTAGCTTATTTATTTTAAACAAATAATTGCTTTTAATCCTTAATTAACTTTCTTCTCAATATTAAAGTTTATCTAAATTGACTAGTCATTTTATTGTTGGACAACTATAAACTTATATATATGTATTTCTGAGCCTTAGCTTTAAAATTGCTCCCAACACATATGCATCTTGTACTTTTATTTAATCTAAAGTATTTCTCTCTTTCCTAATTGTATCATTAATAATGAATCAAACTATTTAGAAGGAATTTTTAAGCCGTGATTTTTTTCATGTAATGTGGCAGTAGCATTTTTTATTTTTAAATCAATGCACTTTGAGAAATGCTAAAAAATACTTGTGACCTCGAGAGGAAAAGAAAGCAGCTTCTAAATTGGATTTAGCTAGTGAATAAAATTCTTTCTTCTAATGCCCTGTCAACAGTTCATGCCATTTAAGGCAACGCAAGATCAAATAATACCCATTTATATGCTGCTCATCTCTTTTGCATTAGCTCATCAGTCTTCTCCCTTTCCTTATTTGTTTCATAAAACGTGTTAATATGGAAATTTGGGTGAAAGTACTACAATTTGTCATATTATTGGTAACCCAGGTGTATTTTTATAAAATGATAGAGGATTCACTGCAGGTCATATAAATGTTTGGCTTTCATATTTTAGGACTCAACATAATTGCTCAATTATGGCACATCTATTGCTTAATCTATTAAAGGAAAAAAGAGGCCTAAAAACATCATGTATTTGGAGAACTGCAAGTAGCTTGATATGAGGTTGGTGGACAGCATACGTTGGAAAGACAGGCAGGTGCTGCATCATAAAATCTAGACTTTTTGTTACATAAAAGGAGAGTCTTTAAAAAAGAATTGAAGATTGTGTTAAACAGATGATGATTGAAGTCAGAGTGGAGTTAAGCTGTCAAATCATTCAGAAAAGAGTATATGTTAGAAAACAGTGGTGAAGGTTTAAAGAAGGAAAATGTTCGAATTGTATTTAGAAATTATAAATTATATCGTTTAATGTTGATTTGAGGGATAGAGGGTGATCCCCAGATTTTTTTTTTTTTTTTTTTGTGTAGTGACTGGCTATGTTGTATTACCTACCTCCAAAGGGATGGCAGATAGATGCAGGAGAAATAACTATAGTGGGGACAGGAGAGCAAAGTCAGCTTTGGCTTATATACCAGTGAAATATCAAGGTAAAAATATGTGATGTTCCTTTAAGAAAAGGGCTTCTGGAATTGAAAAGAGAGGTCTTTCCCAGGTGGAGGTTGAAGCCATGGGAGTAGATAATCATAGATGTGATTGCCCAGGCAAGCTGTGTGTAGGGAGTGGTTAATAGGAGCTCAGATCACTGCCAGTGTTTGGAACCCCAATATTTAATGGTAAACAAAGGAAAGAAGGCTGGTGCAAGAGGTATCAGAATGACAGGATGTGGGAAGTGGAGTGACAAGAAAAATGAAATAGTTTTAAGAAAAAAAAAAGTGGTGGACAATGCAAATGCCATATTGTAGTGTAATAAAAAGTATCCGTGGTCTCTAGGGATGGAAAGAGAGCACTGCAGCTGAAGAATAAATAGGTGGTGGAGTTGGAGTGGCAAATGGTGCCTGTTCTTTCAAGAATTCAGCTCTGAATTGGGTATGAGGGAACTAGAGTAGGGTATTCCAGCTTGTGCACTCTTGCCATTTGCGATGGGTTAATTCTTTGTTGTGGAGACTGTGCTCTGCATTGTAGGATGTGTAGAAGCATCTCTGACCTTTGCCCAGAAGATGCCCAATAGGACCCTTGCAGCCCAAGTTGTGACAACCACAACTTGTGTCTCCAGGCTCTGCCAAATTTCCTCTGAGGGTCAAAATCAGTTGAAAATTGATTTAAGTGTATCTAGGCATATCTAGGTGGTTAAGAATATATGGATAACTAGCAGAAAACCTTACTACAATTTTTATTGTGAAATGATTATGTAGTTAAAAAAAAACCTGAAATTTTTTTGACTCTGCTTTATCTTGATTTTCAATTTTAATTTCAACAATCTTGGTTTCTGCTGTTACATGAAATGTGCAATTTTATTGATAAACATCTGTCTTGATTGGTCATAATAGAAGTTAGCCTGTTTTCTATCATGCTGTGTTTGTTCTCTTTTTAAAAATACATACCTCAGTTTTATGTAATGGAACAGTGTAATGGAGGAAAACAAATATTTAGGATCAATCATTGCAGTAGAATTTTTAATCACTTACCTCATATTTGCTTTTTCCCCCCTCTTGGTTTGGAAAAAAATAGCAGTGCAGGAAATACTTTTTAAATCTCTTGAACTTTAGGTCTTTAGGCAAAAAATGATTTTTACATATTTCGAAAAAAGTACTGCAGGGTCTACAAGCAAGGCACTTGGCCCTGAAGAAGTTAATATGTAGTTTTCCCGATGGGACCACCTAGAGAGCTGAGGCATAACTGGTGCAGATAGGATTTCGGTTTGAACACCAGTCTCCCTGTGTTTGGAACAGAAGGAGCACAGGGGTCCTCCCACAGATTGTGGCTGCCAGTGATGCAGCCCGAGTCAGTGGCAGCCCCTAGAGATAGCAGCTGTAGCCCCAGGTGGTAAATATATGACAGCAGCTTGATCTATCGACCAGGGTGAAGAGGGGGTTCTGGCCTAAATGAAAATTCATGAAAAATTGATGAAGTCCCCAGATTATTTTTTCCGTTTCCTTTTCTCTGCACTATGCCAGTGCAGAGAGGGGAGATTAAATGAGGCGCTGAACGCTTTAGTGGCAAGGAGGTTGTGGTTCAAAGGTCAGGGGTAACTTAGAAACTGATCTGTTTTTTTCCTTTTCTTACTTCTAAAGCAAAACAAGAACACAAGAATTTTTGAGATTAGCTATGGTTTACCTTTGCTTTGATAAAATAAAATTGCTACATGTTTGAAAGTTGGCTTTTGA